CTATGGCCAGAGGGCTATTTACATCTCAGTATAGGAAAGAATCGACAGAAAACTGAAAAGCCCTGGTTCTAACAAAAGATAATCAAAGAGCCTAATGCATGGAGGCTGCAGCAGGACATGGGGAATTATCTGAAACTAATCACTCTACCAGGCAAATCTAAAATAACCGAGAGGGAGTATTTTGGATGAAGTTTCTTGCAAGTCTCCATAAAAACACCGGACAGACTAATGTCAGGGTAAGAGAGGCGAGTATCACGTACATCAAGATTGCAATCAAGTTCAAGCAAACTTCAGTGCCAGCGGTGGTTGGGTGCAGTAATGAACAGTGACTGGAAGTGGCCTTGGATGTTTGTGAAAAGTCAGCTAGCAAAATACACAGGGTAAATATTACTGCCTCAGAAAACTGTCTCCATTGCTGAGTAGCCTGCCTTTACCTACACTCCTTAACAAAAAGAGGAGTTGTTCTTTAGAGCTTCTGGAAGATTGTGCTGGAAGTGGAGGGGCATATAGTATTCCTGGGCCTTTCTCCAATAGGATGGGCTGAATTTATTTTTGAGCCATCTATGAAGAAACAGTTGCTAAGAAGCTAATAATTTAAGTGTGTGCCTGGCATCTTGCGTGCGTGCGCACACATGGGGGTGACTTTAACCTCTGCACTGCAGTGTACATACCTGTCTCCCTTTCTCCTTCACGTCACCTTTGGAGCTGAATGTCTACACTATGCCTGGTACATAGCAATTGCTCCACAGATGTTTCCTAAACGAACAAAGAAATGCTCGAGAGAATGAAACGTCCAAACTTTAAGAAGTACCTATTTCATTCTGACAATTCATACTGAGGTGATGGTTCTGAGTCATCCTCTGAAAGGGGTCCAACGAACCAGTACTTAATGATGCTTTCTTAGCAGCATGTTCAAAATGCCTAGAGTACTCAATTAACATTATTTTTTTCCTAAATGAGACAAGCCTCTCTCCTCGCTATCTAAGTATGTGGGGTTTTACTACAGTCCTAGTTCTCAGAACGAATAGTCTTATCATTCCTCCCTTGACTCAGAGGCTATTATTCAGGACAGTACACAGTGAGTTGATACTAAGACCCACTGTGGACAACTGGGTCTTTGTGTTCTCCCCCAAGCTGGGTCTGACTCACATCAGTCCTGAGTTACTGTATTGACTCTGGATGATTCCTTAGGTTCATGATTTACATTTATACTATGTTAGTTGTTAAGAGCTGGGGATAAGGGAACCAAAAAGGCACACTGAAAACCATGGACACTGTTCTTTTGATTACCTCATAGTCCCAGGACACACTGCTGGTTAGCATAGGACACATTTATTATTATAAATGGTAACATCTCGGTCTCCTTCATACAAGAGCAAACCAGGCAGAGCTTCTAAATTAATAATCTTTTGGGTTGTTGTTGTTGTTGTTGTTTTTTTTTTTTTTTAGCTGCAATGGAAATCTGGTGCTTGCTTCAGGAAATCAGGGAAAAGAAAGCAGTTGGCAGGTTATATTTAGCTCCGATAAGCCATTACTTGTTGCTTAAATGCAAAGAAAGGCAAAGACTAGTCTGTAGTTGCAAAACATAAAATATGCTCTAAAGCAGCCAGGAAGGATAAGCATTCAAATACTACTTTGTTCATTAAATATTTTCCAACACACTATATGAGCTGGACACTGAGCTAGGCACTCGCTGGAGACACACAGTAACACAGCATGCCATTGTACTCTAGGGTAACCGTCAGGCTTCATGTATAAAGCTAGTTTAACAAAAGCAGAGAAGAGGAAGCAATCGACTATACATGATGAGGTTACAGAAAGTTTCACAGAGGAGGTGGCAGTGGGCTTCACCATGCAGGATGCATAGATTTTTACCTGGAAAATTCTGAAGGAAGACGTTTTAGGTGGAGGAAATTGCTGAATGAAAGCAGAGAGTGTGAAAATACAAGGTGTATTCAGTAACTCATGCAGGGCCCAGTGTGGCTGCAGTGGAGACGATGTGGGAAGAAGGTGACAGATGAGAGTGGGGAAACTGATTAAGGCAAGATCACGTAGGGTCTTGAGTGTGCCAAAAAGTTTGGAATGTATCTGATAGATACATTACTGGAAAACAATCAGGCTTTTCTGAAATATAGGATTGCAAGGAAAGAGGTAAACGTTTAAGAAATAAGATTGGCTGTATGTATATAAAATATAAAATAGAAATAGAAATCCCAGAAATAGAAATCCCAGAAATAAACCCTCACATATACGGCCCATTAATTTTCAAAAAGGGGGATAAGACCATTTAATGGGAGAAAGGACAGTCTTTTCAACAAATAGGTCAGGAAAACTAGATATCTACCTACAAAAGAATGAAGTTGGACTCATATGTTACACCAAAGACCTAAACTTAAGAGCTAAAACTATAACATT